TCTGTTATCCATTATGAATTGATTTTTGTGAGAGGTGAAAGGTGTGGATTCTGTTTCAGTTTTCTATGTGTGGCTATCCAGTTTTCCCAGCACCATTTATTGAATAAGAATTCTTTTCTCCAGTGTATGTTTTTGTCTGCTTTGTCAAAGATTAGATAGCTATATGAGGATGGCTTTATATTTGGGTTCTCAGTTCTGTTCCATTGGTCTATGTCCCTGTTCTTGTGCCAGTACCATGCTATTTTAGTTACCATATCCTTGTTGTATAGCTTGAAGTCTGGTAAATTAATGCCTCCCAATTTGTTCTTTTTCCTTAAGATTGCTTTTGCTATACCAGGTCTTCCCTGGTTCCATATGAAGCATAGAATTATTTTTTCTATATCTGTGAAAAATGATGTTGGTATTTAAATAGGGATTGCATTGAATCTGTAGATCACTTTGGGTACTATAGACATTTTTAAAATGTTGATTTTTCTGACCCATGAGCATGGTATGGTTTTCCGCCTGTTTACATCCGCTGCTATTTCCTTCCTCAGTGTTTCATAGTTCTCCCTGTAGAAGTCTTTTACTCCTTAGTTAAATGTATTCCTAGGTATTTTACTTTCTTTGTTGCTGTTGTGAAAGTTATTGGGTCTTTGATCTGGTTCTCAGTTTGACTGTTGTTGGCCTATAGGAATGCTACTGATTTCTGTACATTGATTTTGTAACCTGTGACTTTGCTACATTTATATATCAATTCCAGTAGGCTCGTGGCAGAATCTTTGGGGTTTTCTAGATATAAGATCATATTGTCAGCAAAGAGTGATAGTTTGACCTCTTCTTCCCCCATGTGGATGCCCTTGATTTGCTTCTCCTGTCTGATTGCTCTGGCTAGGACTTCCAGCACTATGTTGAATAGAAGTGGTGAGAGAGGACAACCTTTCCTGTTCTAAGTGGAAATGCTTTCAATTTTTCCCCATTCAGTATGATGTTGGCTGTGGGTTTGTTATATATGGCTTGTATCATTTTTAGGTAAACCCCGTCTATGCCTATTGTGTTATGCGTTCTTATCATAAAAGGGTGTTGAATTTTGTTGAATGCTTTTTCTGTATCTATTGAGAGGATCATATGGTATTTGTTTTTGCTTCTATTTATGTGGTGAATTACATTTATAGATTTGTGTGTGTTGAACCATCTCTGTATCTCTGGGATTAAGCCCACTTGGTTGTGATGGATTATTTTTTTGATAACCACCTGAATTCGTTTGCTAGGATTTTCTTGAGAATTTTTGCATCTATATTCATAAGGGATATTAGTCTATAGTTTTCTTTTCTTGTTGAGTCCTTTCCTGGTTTTGGTATCAGGGTGATGTTGGCTTCATAAAATATGTTGGGGAGGATTCCTTCCTTCTCGACATTGTGGAATAATTTCTGCAGGATAGGCGCCAGTTCTTCTTTGTAAGTCTGGTAAAATTCGAGTGTGAAAACATCTGGTCTGGGACTTTTCTTTTTAGGAAGGTTTTTTATTGCTGTTTTAATTTTGGAACTCGATATTGGTCTGTTCAGGAATTCTATTTCTTCCTGATTGAGCCTAGGAAGGCTGTGTGTTTCTAAGAATTTATTCATTTTCTCCATATTTTCCAGTTTATGTTCATAGAGGTTTTTATAGTATTCATACATGATATTTTGTATTTCTGTGGCATCAATTGTAATTTCTCCTTTTTCATTCCTGATGGAGCTTATTAGACTTCTTTCTTTTCTGCTTCTTGTTAATCTAGTCAGAGGCACGTCAATTTTATTTTTTCAAAGAACCAACTTTTTGTTTTATTAATCTTCCATATAGTTTTATTATTATCAATTTCATTTGGTTGTGCTCTGATTTTTGTTATTTCTTTTCTTCTGCTGGGTTTGGGGTTGGCTTGCCTATCCTTTTCCGATTCTTTGAGATGATTCATTAGATTATTTATTTGTGATCTTTCTGTCTTTTGGATGTAGGCAATTATGGATATAAATTTTCCTCTCAGAACTACTTTAGTTGCGTCCCACAGATTTTTGTTTTGTTTTTTTTTCGGAGACAGAGTCTTGCTCTGTTGCCCAGGCTAGAGTGCTGTGGTATCAGCCTAGCTCACAGCAACCCTCAAACTCCTGGGCTCAAGTGATCCCCTGCCTCAGCCTCCTGAGTAGCTGGGACTACAGGCACACACCACGATGTCTGACTAATTTTTTCTATTTTTAGTTGTCCAGCTAATTTCTTTCTATTTTTAGTAGAGATGAGGTCTCACTCTTGCTCAGGTTGGTCTTGAACTCCTGAGCTCAAGCAATCCTCCCGCCTTGGTCTCTCAGAGTGCTAAGATTACAAATGTGAGCCACTATGCCCAGCCAGATGCCTATGATCCTCACGTTAGGCCTCTTCACATAATCCCACATTTCTTTTAGGCTTTGCTCTTTTCTCTTATTTCTCAGCTCTATCTCTGTGACTGACTTATTTAATTAAAAGGTGTTATCTTCAATCCCTGAGATTCTTTCTTCTGTTTCATCTACTCTGTTCTTGAGGCTTTCCACTATGTTTTGTAATTCCTTGAATAAATTCTTCATTTCCAGAAGTTCTGTTTGATTTTTCTTTAATATTTCAATGTCTTTAGTGAATTTTTCTTTCAAGTCCTGGATTTTTTTTGTAGTTTCTTTCTGTTGGTTATTCCCTTGTTTCTTACATATCATTGAGTTTTCTTATAATCCATGTTTGAAATTCTTCTTCTGTCATTTTCAATTTGGTTGACATCCATTACTAGAGAGCTGGTGTTCCCCTTTGGGGATATGCTTTCCATTTGATTCTTCATACTTCCAGAGTGCTTTTGCAGATTCCTTCCCATCTGGATCAGCTGTTGCTTCTTACCTTTAGATTTTCGTTTGGATAATGACATGCCCTGTTTAGTCTCTGAGCCAGTAGGTGGTGTTTGTGGGTGAGATTCAACCACACCCTTTATGATGAGTCAGTAGATGCCGTAAAAGCGTGTGCAGAGTGACCTCCCTGTCAGTAGGTGGTGCTTGCTGGGAGGAGCAAGCTTCAGTGTTGTTTTTGGGTCCTGTAACCAGCTCTTGTTCCTCTGGAGAGGCATTCTTGTGCCTCTGGTGGTGGGTGGGGCCCTGGGACTTCCAGGTGTGTCCTTATTCTCCACCTCAGTGGGGGCAGGTTGGGGAATGAGGCTGGGTGGAGCTGGGTTGAGTTAGCCTGCCCTCGAACTCCACAAATGCTGTCAGCAGGGGTCAAAGGTGTGTTCTCTGCTTCTGGGTAAAGCTGCCAGGGAGGGGCTGAAATGCCCCACTCAGCTGAAAAGTCTGCGTGTGGGCGTGGGCCTGCTGAGACCTGAAGTCTGGAGCAGGCCTCACTCCCTTCCACCTTCCCCTGTTCCACTGTTTCTCCTGGGCCTCCGCAGGCCAACAGGACCTCAAACCAGTGGATCTCCCCTAGCTGTGATGCAGGCCCTCCCGTGGGAGGAGGGTTGTCCCTCAAGCAGCTGATTTGCCCTTGAAGGCACACACCTCCGTAGGCTCGTTCACAAATATCCCTTCTGTGCCCCACGGCAGTGCGGCGGGTTCTGGTCTGCAGGCCTTGGAGATCAATCCCTGACCCTGCCAGTGGGAGGAGTGCTGGTCTCAAGTTACCCACGGGTTGCTCAAGCTGGATGGATGTGTCTTGGCCTCCAGATTTGCCCTGCTCTCTTACCGTCCAGGTAAGCAGCGCCTGGGAGGGCTGGTGGGTAGGGAGCTCACAGTCTGAGTACCCCTCAGTCCACTGTAGGGCCCCAAAAGGAAAGGTTCCAATCCCTGCAGGTGCCTCCGGGTGGTGACTAAATGGTCTCTCTTGGTGGCTACGGGTAGGGGAGGGGAAGGGGAGAACGAAGCAATATGGTGCCTGCCGATCAGCTCAGGTCTGTGGGCCAGGAGGTGCCCTGCCCCCAAAAGGCTCACTGGTGGTGGCCATACTGGGCTGATGTTGACAGGTCTCTCCAACTGCCCAGGAGCCCACCAGCAGTCCAAGATGCAAGGGAGGGGAAATTGAACCGCTCCACCTACCCTTGTCGCTGGTCTCCGAGCCACTGAACTAGAGTTTTCTTTTTATCTTTTGCCTTTGTCACACTTTATCAGTGTCCTTCATGAAATGAACTGGGGATTGCTCTATGCTTTGCATACAATTCATAATTTGAGAATAATATATTATCGATATATATGAGAATAATATACAATATATAAATAGTAATAATAAATAATGATGTCATGTAATTACATATACTAAACATCTATTCCTTGAGGGCTTGAAGATAACTTTCTTAATTTCCTCATAGTTATTGGTTTTTAGACTTAGAAATTTCTCCTTTGGTCCACTTAGATAATTTATAATCTTTTAGGAATAGCCATTCAGATTGTCCTAATCATTGCCTTGTGTTGTTCAAAGCAGTCCCTGATAATTAATACCTTCTGTTTTGGGGATATTTGCTACTTTAAGTTACTAATTTATATATTTTAAAAATCTTTTTTAAAAATTAGACTAGCTAATGTTTTGTCACTTTATAGAGATTTTGTTTTTCTTGTCGAAAAGAGTTAAATTTTTTAATGATGCCCTTTCCTCTGATCGTGCCCTGTTGAGTAATTTCAGCTGTTCTGGATAGGTAGGCTAAGCAGGGGTGAGGCCTGTGGCTCTGAGATATTTGCTGCAGATGAGATGACTGACAGACACAGCTATTAGAAGGAAGCTTCAAGACTACATTGTGTTCCCATTAGAGTTCCTCACTCTTTGTGTGATGCCGATAATTGCTTTGTGTTTCTAAGTCTTTGTATCTTTTGTACACATAGAAGAGAGAACATTTTCTAGAGCTTTGAGGGCTGTGGGATGGTGTGGTTACTGTTTTCATTGTGGTGGTCCAGGTAACAGCTTGCTTTCCTTCTCACCCCAGGGCTTGTTAGAGAGTCACCTGGACCTAACCCCATATATTCTCAATAATTCCTTTTCCTCTCACTTTCCAGGGAACAGCATGCAGCTGTTGCCAGCATGCAGCAGGCATCGTGACTGGCTAAAATCTCCCATCAGGTAAGAGGCCTTGCATGCTGTCTGAGATTTGAGTCCTGGGCCACTTCAACATTTCCAGGAAGTGGAAATGAGAAGAACTGACTGAGAATTGTCCATAACATTACATTTAGCAATGTGGAGGAACTGGTGTTTTCAATGAGGGTAGTTTTAAAAGAGAAATAAGGGAAAAGCTTTTTTAGAGTAGATCTAAGAGAGAAAGAGATGGGGAAAATTAGAGATAGCAAGGATAGACAACTGTTTGAAGGAATCTTATCATAACTAGGAACACAGAAATGGAATCGAGAGAAGATATTTTGCTTTGTTTAACAAGGCAGAAATTACATCACGGATGTATATTGACAGGAATTATCAAATAGAAGGAATTGATAAAGGACAAAGAATTGCTCGGGCAATGCTCTTGAGCAGATGAGAGGGGAAGATAACTGGGACACAAGGGGAACATTTGGTTAGGTGGGAACACAGCAGGTGTTACACGGTAACAGGAGGAAAGGCAAAGGAAAATCGTGTGTTTCCTGAATTTGTATGCTTTCTGAATTCTCTTCCACTTGCTCTTAATCAAACTGCAGTTGTGCAAGGCTGATAGCTCAGTACAAATGCCCCAATCATGTCCCTTCCTCCAAAAGCATCGTCAAACATCTCTGGCCCTCAGATTTGCCAGCTGAAAATTGGGAGCTTCTTTCAATTTGAAATCAGGAATTGAGTTTAAGTTTATGTGGCATCAAAAGCAAAACGTTCTTTGTGCATTAACTGCCCCACAGGTTGCTGTGGGTAGGGGGAAAGCACCAGGCTGGACTCAAACCTGGGCTCGCATCCCAGCTTTGCAATGTTCAAGTTGTGTGACCTTGGAGAAGGAATGGAATCTCTCTGAGATTCCTTCTCCAAACTAAAGTGGTTGTAAAAATATTATAAGAATTTCAGAGGGATATTTTTCATTGTGATTAATGTTTTATAAATGTTACAGTTCTATGAAAATGGAAGCTTTAGAATTGCCCTCAGAATGAAGACTTGAGCCCAGTTTCCTCTATCTTCACTTGTTATTGCCTTTTAAAACTTTTTTTAAAACAAATTTTCCTCCCAAACAAAACTATTTTCCGAAAAGCTCCTACTTTTGTCCCTATAAGAGATAAGGAAGCAGAGGCTGGGGCAAGTTTGTGAACAACCAAAATCCTGGTTGTGTTTAATAGGAGTTGGGAATGCCTTCCTTCATTTCCCTTCTGGACATTTCCCCCTTCTCCCCTTCCTGGAGGCCAGCCTTTTTCCTACTGTAGGTCCGAGGCTCTCAGCCCCAGGCTGTCCCTGCAGGTAGAACTCTCCCATAGGAACTGCATTTGCCTTCCCATTTACTCTCTGTTGTCTCCACAGCCCAAGCAAGCTGTGAACTCACGATCAATACCTTCTGGAGTCTCTAACCCAGCCCCTGCCACAACAGATGCTGTTTGGGAAGAGTTAAATCAACTGCTGTAAATATTGGTGGAGAACTTGACTAGCATCATTGGCATAGCTCTGCAGGCATAGCAGCTCAGGAAGGATTCCCCTGAGTGTGGGAGGAATGACAGGAATAGGATTCTGCAAGCTGTTCTTTTGACTCTTCCCAACCACACCATTTCTAGCAAACTCTGATCATTGCAGGTGTCTCAAGCCTCTTGCCTTTATATAGTCTTACCCCATCAGGCTCCATGTCAACCCCGCATTGCCAGGAAAGTACAAGGTTTTCCACGAGCACATTTCTGTTTCATGTGCCGAGGTTGAAGATATTCCAGAAAGCAAATGTTGCCATTGCTTTATGCCCATCTGTAGTGCTCAGTAGGGGATTCTGATCAGGTGGAGTTAACTTACTGTAGTTTAAAATCCTTGAAGGGGAAAATCAAGGAAACACCGATTCAAGAAGCATTCTGCATTGGTCACAGTGTTGGGTGTTTGCAAGGGTTAGGTGCTGCATCTTTGGTCTCTCATAAAGCTCACCCCAGTCAATTATATTTGTCTTCTGAGCTTCTTTGTTCAGGCTGACATTTCGACAAAATGCACAATGGATGGGCCAGATCCAGGGTGAAGAAGGGACGGAGTGGGAGGCTGCTCACGTGGCCTGGCAGAGACAATGAGCTGAGGATGTGACCAGCTAGCCGAAGGCACATTAGGTAAGAGACCCACAATCAAAACAGTGAACCATGGGAGAGGGAGAACTTCTGATCCCAGTCACATAACATTTTTTAAAATAAACCCAAGTATAAATAAATAAGCCCTAAGAGACCAAAACAATAATTCATTTAATATATTAGTTTCCTTTTGCTGCTATAACAAATTCCTACAAATTTAGTGGCTTGAAACAATAAAAATTTATTCTCTTACAGTCCTAGAAGCCAGAAATATGAAATCAGTTTCACAGGGCTATAGTCAAAGTGTCCACAGGACTGGTTCTTTATAAAGGCTCTGAGGGGAAAATCCATTTCCTTGCCTTTCAGCTTCTAGTGGCTGCCTGTATCCCTTGGCCTGATAAAGGTTTACTGGAAGCCAGAAGACACATCCCAGGCGTCTGCTACAAGGTGAAAGGTTTTTACAGGAAAGTTTAAAAGAAGGAAGGGGGACTCCACATACTGGAGTAGTCCTCTTATCACTGGAGGGTACAATAGAGAAGTTACAATCATTGGCTACGGATTACATTACACAGGCTAAAAATGTCTACGTGCAAGACAATTAGTAGAACCTCATGCGTCAGCTACTCCTAAAATAAATCAGTGTCCTATTTGGTGTCTGCAGGTTATACATTGATCAGGGCATCAACAATTTGAGGAATTTAAAATAAGATTCTTTACTCCAAAATAGAATGGCACCATCGAGTCACAAGACCTCCCCAAGGCAGATTAATTTGGAAGTCTGCCTACTGTCAAATGTGACTTGAAGGTTATCAGACCCTTATAATCATGTCAGGCCCACCCAGGTAATTCAGGAGAGTCTCCCTGTCTCAAAATCTTTAATCACATTCTGAGATACAGAAAAAAAAAACCCAAAATGTTTTTCCTATTCTCTCATTCAACACCTCTGTGACCTCAGATTTGTGGAAATTCCTTCCATACACCAAGCAAGCAATTTGCCAAAGGACACCAACAGGGGTGTCCTTTAAATCAATTCTGACGCCATCTCTCTGGAGGTAGCATCAGATGCCACAGGTCAAGGGCTCAGTCTCTAAGGCTGCCGCCCACCTCAGATGCCAGTCTCAAGGCCAGCCTCCAGAACCAGCTGTAAACTGGGGTTCCTACAACCCCCTCCTCAGATTCGATCGTTTTGCTCGAGCAGCTCACAGAACTCACAAGCATGTTACTTACAGTTTACGATAAAGGATATTGCAAAGGATACAGATAAACAGCTAAATAGAAGAGGTGTGAGGGAGCTTGGAGAGTTTCACCCCAAAATATGACTCCTTGGTGTTAGGTCTGGAGTCGAGAGAGAGACACAGGAAGCCTCATGTGTAGCAAAATGCTGTTTATTTTGAGCATCTGGGTGCAGATGGGTGGAGGTGAAAAAGTGTCCACGAGACAAAAGGGGAGAGCCTTGGGTTTTATAGAGGGGTTTTTCAGGGTTGGGGGGGTGGGTAAGTGGGTCAAAACAGCTGCTGGTAATAAATTTTTTTGTAAATAACCAACTCCTGAGGCTCCTGCCCTAGTACATCCATCCTTCAGCTCTGGCATCATTCTTATCAGGAGAGCTAGGGAGGGATAGCCTTCATCTCTATCAGTGAGGGAGGGGGAAGGAATGCTGGCTGCAGCTGTCTGTTAGATCTATTGTTTTACAAGCCTAAGTTTTGCATTAACCACATTGGGTCCTATACATACTTTTCAGGTTCCCACCTGGAACAAACCTAACACTTGGTATAAAGAGTATTTTGAATTAAAGGCTCTTAGAGGTCAATAGGCATTGGAAGGGCCTTTCTATCTGCATAAAACCAGACAGACCCATCAAAAAGAACAATTGACTTCCTGTCCCCTCCCTGTTATCTCTATATTACAGGATAGCAGATCAAAAATGCAACCAGACCTGGCCCAAACCATTTTAAAGATAATACTTGTCTCTCAGGTTAATTTAATTTCCAAAGAGAATCATTTACAAGTTAATCTTGTTAACGGCAAAAAAACCAAATTCTGTAAAATAATTTTAAAGAGATTCACTCTGAGCCAAATTTGAGGATCATGACCTGGAGCCACGCTCAAGAAGTCTTGAGCAAGTGGACTCGCTGTGGTTGGGTTACTTTAGTTTTATACATTTCAGGGAGACAGGGGTTACAGGTAAAGTCATAAATCAATACATGGGAGGCATACATTGGTTTGGCCTGAAAAGGTGGGCCATGGGGGGGCCTTACAGGTTATAGGTTGGTTTAAAAATTCTTTGACTTGTAATTGGTTAAAGACATGAAGCGTTGTCTAGAGGCTTGGAATGTTTTAAGATAAGAAGCTGTTAATCAGGGATAAGCCACCCAGACATATATTTGTTGTGTAATTTGAGGACCTGCAGGTTTGTCTGGCATACCCTTAGGCCTGTTAATGGGTTACAAAGGATGTCCCCAAGAAGGGGGGCAGGGCATGATGGGACCTATCTGACCTCCCTCCTCCTGGCAGGCAGTTTAGTTTTAGGATATTCCTTTGGCCACCAGGGGGGTCCATTCAGTCAGCCAGTGGGTGGAGGTGCGAGGGTGGGTGGTGAGCCTTAAAATTTTATTTTAGTTCACAAGGGTAAGGGAAGTCAGTTGTTCTTTTGATCGGTCCATCTGGTTTATGCAGATAGAGGGAAAGCCTCTTTTCAAGGGCCTGTTAATTTCTAAGAGCCTTTAATTCAAAATACCAAGGAGTCCACATTCTGGGGTGAAATTTCCTGAGCTCCTTCAAAGCTGAGGGAAAATTAACAAAAGTAGAGTTTGTTTGGGCCAAGGTTAAGGATTACAACCTGGGAGTATTCATTCAAGTTGCCCTGAATATGCACTCCAATTAGCAGCAGTTACAAGTGGGTTTTTAAAGCCAAAAAAGGGGACAGGTAGTGGGCTGTTACAAAATTGTTTGTCAGGAATTCTCATTGGTTTGCAGAAATAACATGGATTAGTTATTTCTAGTTAATTAGTTAACTATGGCCATACATTGTTAAACTATAGGGTATGGGTTATAGCGTCTAGGGCAACATTATTAGGTTAATTTATAGCTGCTTGTGGCAGTAGCAAGCAGTTTCAAGAGATGAATACATACCTCAAAGGACATTGTACTCTCATTTTAATGTCTCTCTGGTCCTGGTAACATAAAAGGACTTGAATTCCTTAGATAAAATTTCTTTTCTCAGTCTTGTGGTGTGGAGTTTCATAGATGTTCAAACAGTGACAACAACAGAGGTTCACTTTTTTTTTTTTTCAGCAAATGCTTGCTGAGAGCCTACTCTTGCCGGGCCCTATTACCAAGCTGGGGATTTAGAGCTATGAGGCATGTGCTCATGGTCTATTTCAGGAGATTAATAGAAGACGAGCCAAAATCCAGGTAGCACATGAGCATGTGAGGGGCACCTATAAAGCGTGTAGGAGTTCTGAGAAGACAGGGGAGTCATTGCCCTCTCAAAATTACTGTGAGCCCAGATAACTGCCTGTCTTTTATCCTGCTCCAAGAATGACTAAAGGAGGACGTGCTTGCTCTCTGCCACTCTGGTAAAACAGAGGGACCATAGAAAGAAAATACTGTAGGGGCCAAAGGAAAACTTTCCCTTTGCCCTCTGAAGTTTCACTGAAAAATCCACTGGTAAAAGGCGGATTAATAGGAGAAATGGCACACAAATTTATTAGTGTGCACAGGTTGTGGGGGGAACCACAGAGTGATTACCTCACCACACGATGGAGTACAGATTGGTTATATATCCATCTTCTTAGGAGAAAGGGAGATGGGGAAGTGTGATTTTGTTATCAAAAGCCAGGCACTTGTCCCCGAGGCAACATCAGAAGAATAAGGACAAGTGGTTGAGGAAAAGTAAATAGAGATTTATTAACTTGCTGGCAAATGAGGAGGATGGAGACTCCTGTCTTAAAGTGCCATCATCCTAATTGTAAGCAGAAATACACAGCTTTTAACGGGAGGGTTTTTAGCTTCAGGGTATTCTGATCCATCCCATCTCCCATCTCCAGCAAAGACCATCTGGTGACCACTACCCAGAAAATTCTGTTGAACCATCTCCTGTGGAATAAAGAACAAAGGGCACTCCCCTCCCCCTCCTGACTACTGACATGAGGCAGGAATGCAGATTTTAGTTCTCCAAAAGGAGTGGGGGAGGTTTTAAAGAGACAGAAAAAATTCTTTTGCCCTTTTCCAGGCCATTCTGTCTGTTACAATTTTAGAGAGGTAGTAAATAATTTTGGGGGGA